GGGCAGCCACGCTGCCCGCAGCCCCGTGGGCGCGCCCACCGCGGGAGGGGTGGGTTCCACCGACCGAAGAAGCCGTTTTGATGGATTTCACCGCAGCCTCAAACACCTTCTTCGGCAGCCTGAGGTTGGTGGTCCCGCTGTCCACGATGCTCTTGTCGTAGTTGTACTGGGGGCAGAAGAGGAGGAGTGAGGCGGGCGCAGGACCCCAGCCCCGCTCCCCTCCCGATGCCCCTCAGATCGAAGGCGGACGCCTCCAGCGGCAGCGCCGGCGCGGCGCCCCGGAGGGCAGCTGCCCCCTCACCTCTTTGCAGTCCATGTTCAGGTCCTGCCCGTTGACCTCCAGCTTGACGATGATGACCTCGTAGTACCACTCCTTCCGGATGGGCGTGTACCAGATGTCACCCACGTACAGCGAGCCCCGCGGCAGCCCCGCCGGCCGCCCCGCCGGCCGCAGAGCGCTCACCATGCTGCCCCCCACCGACGCCAGGGCCTCCGTCTCGTTGGGCGAGAAGCCTGCCCCGCAAAGCTGGAGGGAGAAGATGTTGGGCACCCGGGTCTGCTTCACCAGGGAGTCAAAGAAGGGCTCCAGGCTGTCGTCGGGCTGGTGGGAGGAGAAAGCAGAGGCAGGTCAGGGATGCGCCCGTGGATCCCCTTCCCCGGGGGCTCTCCGTGCCCAGGGGAGCTCCCCTCACCGGGACCGCTGCGCCCCCAGGGGTCCCGGCTCTGCCTGCTGTCGGAGCGGGGCTCAAGGTCACCGGCACAGCCGCGAGCGGGGCCCCGGGGGACCGAGCAGAGCCAAGGAAAGAGGCAACCGAACCCTGTGCTGGGACAGGGTGCCCGCGCCTGCCGGCGGGGCCAGGCAGAGCTGGGGCCCGGCCGGCTGCGAGCCAGGACTCACCCGGGCGATCTCGGCGTAGGCCAGCCCCAGGATCCCCTCCCAGTTGGAGCCGTTGATGAAGAATTTGTCCGACTCCGTGATGGCGGCAATGTTGGCTCTGACAGTGACGTTGGGGCCGTGGGGGATGGTGACGAGGTCGGTGCCCAGTTCCCCTTCCCACTTGCCCTGGGTGTAGGGCACGTAGACACCCTTCCGCAGGTCGCGGTAGGTGCTGGACCTGCAACGGCGTCCAAGAGCCAGAGTGAGACTGGGGGGGGGGGGGGACAACCACGCGGGGGGCCGCCCGCCGGCGAGGGCCGGGGGACCTCAGCTGTTCTGGGCTCCTGTAATAACAAGTGGCTCTGTGTAGAATAGGGTATCTATGATGCTAGAATTTGGGGGGGGGGGGGGGGGGGGGGGGGGACACACACGCATGCGTAGCCGAGCACTGGCAAGCGCAGAGGCGAGGCGTGCCTGTCCCGCAGACCGGCGCGGCCGGGCGAGGACCGCGCGTTTCTCCGCACGCGCGGCTGTCGGGGAGCCCCGCCGTGGGTCGGTGAAGCACCAGGACGGCTCCTTGCAGCCCGGGCCAAGGCTGCCACGGGGCGTGCGGGGGACGAGCCCTGCTGTCGTTCGCTGTGTGCGGCGGCCGGCGGCCCAGACACCCTCTTAAATGTTCTGGGAGGGTGGGCAGGGGCTGAGGGCTCCCTCCCTCCTCCTCCGGGCACAGAAGGACCCTGGAGGCTGGGTCTGGCTGGACCCCCAGCAAGAAGGGAGAGCGCGGCTCCGTGGGGCCGGGGCTGCGTCACGGGCACGAGCAGCGGTGGCTGTGCTCTCTGCTGC